TAGATAGATAGATAGATAGATAGATAGATAGATAGATAGATAGATAGATAGATAGATAGATAGATAGATAGATACCAACGCTAAAGATAACACTTGTTTCATACTTTAAGTTCTGCCCATGAATATAAAAGTATAAAATCAGTTGAATGAGACATAAAGGAGCCAAAAACAGGCTTAAAATAGCCACAAAGACACAAAAGATCACAAAAAGATGTAAAAAATGAGTTGCAGATCAAACAAAAGAGACAAAAGGGCCCTTAAACATACTAAATAAMACCCAAAATGAAAAATCACACAGCGAACAACTAACATGTAAAAGAAACAGAAAGAAATCCAAAAAGACCACAATGGACAATGTCCATGAAGAAAAACAAATTGGTCCCAAAATGATGAAAWATGTCAGCATTGTGACAGGTTAATCATAATTTGCCATATTCACTGTTAAAAGTCAGTTTAAAAAAAAAAAACACTTCTTCATTCTTTCATATCATTGGTGTTAAAAGTTAGTTTCTGGTCCCGTACTTACCCCAGCATGTCCAGCACCGGGCACCGTTGACCAGAAGAACCCTCTCCAGTCTTGGTCCTCAAAGATGTAGGGAAGAATGCGGGTCAGGATCCGAGTGCAGTTCAGGACTACCTGCTTCTCTTTCTCAGAGGGACAGCCAGACTCTGCCCCCTGAACCAGCTTCTCTACCGCCTTTAGGGACAGAGCACATCAGACCGGTCAGAAGCTCTCACAAGTACAAATAAGCAGAGGTTCATTCGTTTGCAAAATGGTGCGTTTATGGCGTGTACAGGATTCCAAWTAAATGAAAGCTGTGTGTAAATTATTGATCAATATTTATGGAGGATCAAACATTGGGTATATAAGAAGTGGGGTTTTGGTTTAACCATCTGCAATTCACCAACATTGTGCTGCAGCTTTTGTCTAAAATTGTTGCCAACCCAGTGAATGAGCTTCGCTTCACGGGCTCTCGTCTCATCTGGCTTTATTTAATTACGCTGTGTGCCTGTGTGTGCCAGATAGTCGGCTTCAAACGGAAGCTGGGAACAGGAGACAGGAAGCAAAGAAAAAGGAAGGGGAGCTGGCTCATTTACTTCCCCCCACATCTGAGAGCCTGGGCAGAGATCTGAAAACACAATCCTGCRATCCCTCAAAACATCATCACACCAGCTGATTATAATAACAAGTGTCCTCGCTGTGGTGAAAATACGGCTCAYAAACAAGCGATGTGGTCTGTCTGAGAGTACCTTATAACAGAGGGTGGCTAAATTTGAYGGGGACTCCTCTCGAACAGCTCTGATCTCTGCAGCTGGCACCAGTGCAAAAACATCCTGGACTGTGATGGTGGTGTCTGACCAGAACTGGTCCCAGAAGGCATCCTCTGTGGCTTCCACAGGCTGGTGGAAAACATGGGCACATTCAGTTCCAACATGACTCTTCAAATAAACGCATGGTCCTCATTAACCTCAGATTGCACTCAGTATACAATATAATTTGATATGGTTTTGTTTGAATAAACACAGAGACTGAGTCATGGGTATCTAGAGCTTAACGACAATGTAAACACAAATGCTTGTTCTTTAAAAAAAAAAAAATGGGCGCATTATCTTGCAGCACAGTCCACCTGCCGCATCTGCAAGCGTTTATTCCCGGATTTACGTCATCAGCTGTGATTTATTTTTTCTAAACGTCCTCATTTATTATAATCAAACTAAATATGCAGGCAGATGCTTAAATAGTCTGGTTTATGATGAACATTAGCGACCAAAATCTACAAAAGTCATCTAATTTTAATACACACGAGACGTTTAAGGTAGCGCATTTTGCATGACATCGAAAATAAAATATCTCAGTTCTGCTGAATAAACAATTTAGGATTTATTATGAAACGAGGGCATTTATATTTCCACTAATGCGCGTTTTTCCCATCCCCTCGGTGATGCTCCTCAGTGCGCCTCTGACTGCTTGATTCAGCGCTGAACGAGTCCATATATACCTGTGTTTTGGTCGTGAGTTGGATCACTGCCTTCCTGAAATTCAGTTTGGAATCGCTGCTGCCCATTGCGCTCGATTTTCTTTAGATACACAGACCCACCGCTACTGAGAATCACCGATAATCTCACCTCCGTCCTACGCTTGAGTCATTGGCGGAGGCGTTTTTTTTTTTTTTTTTTTTTTTAACCATTGGCTGCCTGATGGTACAGGCAGACAAACTTCCGGGTTTAAAAAAAAAACACTGAGATTTAATGTTTGTTTTTATTTACACAGCGTAAAATAARATAAGTGTTGTCTACTTGTGGATTTCTATGTTATCATAGGGATATTACAAGAAACTTTAGTATATTGTAWAYATTTTAATTTATTGTTAGCGTTTTATTACATGTTGCRTTTAKGTACACGTCAGTAAACTGAGCCAGTTCATCCAAATTACTTGATTAGAATGCAAAAAACYTGGTAAACGACTAACTAATCATTTCACCAACTATTGTATTCACGATTAATTAATTGACAAAAAACTCTCTTATATTTACAGTCCAAAAAAATATATGTTTTGATCAGAAAGGACTGAACCTACCCAGAAAACCGACATACCGTCAACGCACCATGCTTTCTGCGCAGCCGCAGTGACATGTAAACACAACCGTAGCTAGCTGTACATATGTGTTTTCTAAGATGGTTCCATGAGCTAAACTGCTGAAGCCCCGAACATATTTTTTTTCTTGGACTGTGGTTCTGAGAATTTAATGAAGTTTGAGAGGTAGCGATAATGTGTGTCATWGTTAGTAAATATTAATAACAGCTGGTTAAAAAGAAGTAAGTAGCGGCGACGTTTAGCATTAGCTTGCAAGCAAAGAATGACAAAGCGACTAGCTTGTTAGCCATTAGCCATATTTCAAAACTTTATTTTGWATTTTAGCTCTGTCTAAACGTGTATATGTCGTTTGTGACAGTACTTTTGCAATTTGTTTGTGTTTCCGAAATGATTTACAGTGAGCCGTTATTTGTTCGGTTAGTTAACTAGTTGAGTAAAGTTAGCTAGGCCATCAGCTGATGAGCTAGAGTCGTTAACATAAAACGTCCGAGTCACTCTCCGCCGACAGAACAAAAATACAACACAGGTTTCTCCAGTCTGAAGAAGTGAAATCATATGTTGACTGAAAAGAGGTGGGTAAACCTAAAGCTAACCWTTTCACAGTGTGTGTTGACTGTTAGCATCGCCCTGTGGGTTGATTGTTCTCATCTCAAGTAGCCATTTTAAAAATCGTAGTTTATGATAAAGAGGGAGATATTTTTAGTCCGCTGCTTTCATTAAATGAAACAATTGTACGAATTAGAGCACTTTATATTTTGAGTTTTTGTTGTAGATTTATAGTGTGTGAAACCAAGTTTACTAGCATTGTTGGAAACATTTAGCGTCTTGGATTTATTAATTGGCGGTGGCAATTTTTGCAATTGTTTTGACAGTTCAAAATTACCTTTTCATTACCTTTTTTTATGTATACACAATGACAGATTTTGTTATTGTGTCATTATTGATGGATAAAGAATATGTTGATCTGATATTATTTAAAACTTTTTTTAACCAAGTGCAGAGAAGTGCTCAGAACACAGCTTTTCCCCTAAATATCTGCCCAGTAATCATACCTGTGTATAACTGATTTTTACCTGTACAGGAAACGACAGCAC